TAGGCCTGATCCAGTGAGATTGGGCCTAATTGAGCAGTTGGACATTCCTCTCACAATCCAAGACTGCTGACCCCCAACCACTCGCCTGCCTGCCTGTCTGATTGCCCCTAACCAATTCTGCCTGCCAGCCTGATCACCCCTTAACCACTCCCCTGCCAGTCTGATTGATGCCTAACTGCTCCCCTGCATGCACAATTGCCCCTAACTGCCCTCCCCTGTAGGCCTGGTCACCCCCAACTTCCCTCCCTTTCAAGCCTGATCCCTCCCAACTTCCCTCCCCTGCTGGCCATCTGGTGGTGGCCATCTTGTGTCCACATGGGGGCAGCCATCTTTGACCACATGGGAGCAGCTATCTTGTGTGTTGGAGTAAGGTCAATTTGCATATTAGGCTTTTATTATATAGGAGATATATATATATATATATATATATATATATATATATATATATATATATATATGAAAAAAAGAAAAGAGAAGGGAAATTGTGTAAGAGCAGGGAAGAGGAAATTAGATATATGAACAAAACAATAGAAACTAAAATAATAACAAATCAATAAAGCAGATAGATAGGGAAGATCAATTTTAAAATAAGGAGGAAAGAAAGAAAATAGTAAAAAGTAAACAGGAGAAAAGTACCCAAAGCAATCTACAGATTCAATGCAATCCTCATTAAAATACCAAAAGCATATTTCCAGACCTAGAATGAACTTTCCAAAAATTCATCTGGAATTTTAAAAAGACTCTGAAAACTGCAGTAATCCTAAGAAAGAAGAATAAAGTAGGGGGGATCTCAGAACCAGCTATCAAGCTTTATTACAAAACCACTGTTCTCAAAACAGCCTGGTACTGACACAAGAACAGACATATAGATCAATGGAATAGAATAGAGAATCCAGATTTCGACCCAAACCACTATGCCCAATTAATATTTGACAAAGGAGGCATGAACATAAAATGGAATCAAGACAGTCTTTTCAACAAATGGTGTTGGGAAAATTGGACATGCAATACATGCAAAAAATGAAATTAGACAATCAACTTACACCATATACCTAAAAATAAACTCAAAATGGATTAAGGATTTAAACATAAGACAGGAAACCATAAAAATACTAGAGGAATACACAGTCAGCAAAATCTCAGACATGCCAAAGCAGTTTCAACACTGATACTGATCCTCGGGCAATGGAAACTAAAGAGAAAATAAACAAATGGTACTACATCAAAATAAAAAGCTTTTGCATCAACAAAACAACAAGAAAGTTCACTGTATGGGAGAACATATTTGCCAATGTAATCACTGATAAGGGTTAAATATCCAACATTTACAGGGAACTCATACAACTTAACAAAAAGAAGATAAATGATCCAATGAGAAAATGGGCAATGGACCTAATTAAATACTTTTTGAAAGAAGACAGAAGGAATGCCAACAGACATTTGAAAACATGCTCAAAGTCACTAGTTATCAGAGAGATGCAAATCAAAATGACAAAGAGGTACCATCTCACACCTATCAAATGGCTATCATCAACAAAGCAACAAACAACAAGTGCTGGTGAGGAGGCATAGAAAAAGGAACACTCATGCACTGCTGGTGGGGATGCAGAATGGTGCAGCCACTGTGGAGAACAGTATGGCATTTCCTCAAAAAACTAAAAATGAAACTCTCATTTGACCCAGTCATCCCACTTCCAGGAATATACCCCAAGAATCTAGAAATACCAATCAGAAAGAATATATGCACCCCTATGCTCATAGCAGCACAATTTAAAATAGCTAAGATTTGGAAACAGCCTAAGTGCTGTTTTTACCATCAACAGATGAGTAGATTAAAAAAACTGTGGTACATATACACAATGGGATACTATGCTGTGGTAAAAAAAAAAAAAAAAAAAAAAAAAAAAAGGAATTCTTACCACTTGCAACATCATGGATTGAACTGGAGAACATAATGCTAAGTGAAATAAGCCAATTAGAGAAAGATAAATGCCACATATCTCACTCATTTATGGAATATAATGAACAATATAAACTGATGAACATTTATCAGACCTTCAAACCTCAAAGGGAAGATAGGGGAGGGTGAGGGTAAGGGGGAAAGATCAACCAAAGAACTTGTATGCATGCATATAAGCTTAACCAATGGACACAGACATCACGGGGATGAGGGCATGAGTTGTGGGGGTGTGGGGGGGAAACTAATGGAGGAGTGAGGACACATATGTAATACCTTAATCAATAAAGAAATATTTTAAATGAAAAAAAGGAAAGGGATAAGAAAAAGAGAAGAGAGAAAGAAAAAGGTGCAAAAGATAAAACAAACAATGAAATTTTTTTAAATGAAGTGTCATTCACATCAGCCAAGTTTTAATGCCCCAAGGGAGCTGGCATAGGACCCACTCTTCTGTTCTGTCTGCCAATTCTGGCTTCCTGGTAGGTATGTAGGTGCTAATCACTGTCAGGCACTGTCCTTTGGCTGTTAGGACCATACTTGAAGCTCCAAGTCCACTGCTTATGTCTGTCTTCACAGGTCTTGCCCTCTTTACCCGTCTACCATCTATCAATCTTAATCACTCAAGAGTCTGTTTCTGCCGAAACTGGTTTGGCTCAGTGGATAGAGCGTCAGCTTGTGGACTGAAATGTCCCGAGTTTGATTCCAGTCAAGGGCATGTACCTTGGTTGCGGGCACATCCCCAGTGGCGGGTGGTGCAAGAGGCAGCTGATCGATGATTCTCTCTCATCGATGTTTCTAACTCTTTATCCCTCTCTCTTCCTCTCTATAAAAAATCAATAAAATATATTTTTTTAAAGAGTCTGTTTCTAACAGGGCTATAGGTGGGGTTGGTGCTATTTCAGTTGCAGGGAATATGATGGGTGTTTTTTACTGTCCCAGACTACTCCTTCTTGAGTGTCCCAAAATGCTACTCTGCTCTTCAATGGACAGAGATCCTGTACAGAGACCAATGGGGTCAGCTGTGACCTTGGAATTTTTATCAGTCTGATTCCTAGAGTAGTAGGATGGATGGACCCTCCTCCACTGAGGACTGGGATCACAACCTGAGGTCCCTCTTCAAGCCCCTCCAGGTGGGCGCACAGCCTGAAGCCCCTGTCAAGCCCCATGGGGCAAGGGCATGGCATGAGGTCCCTTGCCCTGGCCAAGCACCAAGCAGCCTGAGGTCCCTGCTATTTGGTTGTGACATTTCAGTGTCCCAGCTAATTTGAATATTCCTCTATTATATAGATAGATATGTCCTTGAATATTATTAATTAATTCTTTGAGACGATGGTTACATCATTATACTAAAACAAAATAAACTATTTTGATCAATTCCAAAAAGAAATGGCATAGTTTAAAATATTTGATATTTTTTAAATTAAGACATTTTCTGATGGAGTTAAGAGTGAACATGGTCCTGTTGAATTAACGGAATCCCAAGAGTATTTTGAATTGTATCTCGCTAAATGTCCCTAGTCTGGTATCACGTGACTAAGAGTCTATGTTAGGTCTAAAAATGTACATGGGCCTCAGAGATCAAATTCTATTGTGAAGAAACATCTTAGGAAAATAAAAATTTTAAAACTCCAAATAATCAAAAGCTACGGGACTAAGTGTACCAGAACTTTAGCTCTGGAGAGTTCACGTCTTTTTAGTACACTTGATAATACAAAGATGACTATAGTTCCTGTCTGTTTAAATTGTTGAGTTTTTCAATATTTTGGCATTTGCTTACTGATAAAAAGTTCTCAGCTGCCATCAGGGGATGGCAATGGCACAAAGAGTGGCATGAAATTCCCAGTTGTTTGTCAGTTGACTTGGGGAGATGAGTCAAGTCTGGGTGCTCAAGGATTATTACTGTGAAAATGTTATAATGATGATGGCAAGTGTTTATATAAACTTCAAAGGGAGGGACTAAATGTCATATGAAATCCCCAATCTGATTCTCATAATGTGCTCTCAATAATTTGAAGCATATATCTTTAGAGAGATTTAACTGTTTCACCTCGTGGTCAAAAGCATTTCTTTAGTGATTTTCTTTTTCAGATACTTTTATTCTGACCTTTTCATCTTTGTCCCCATTAGATAACACAGTGCCTGGCAGGTAAAATGGGATCAGCAAATGTGTGGGAAATGAGTTACGGACTTCTGACCATTGTCTGAACTGTCTAGCACCAGCATCTTATTATAAAACAGCTGCAATCCACCATTCCATCTAGTGAAGTGTTCTTTCAGGCTGTGGCTGAGAGGACTTCTTCCTCCTGAGTTCAAGGTTAGGCCCTCTGACCTCACTTACGTAAATCCAGTGGTTTGGTGCTATAAATCAATTTCTTGTTTAATGATCAGTATAAAACCGCACCTATAAGAAGAGCTTCCTTGATTTACAAATATGCCAAATAAAACTATTAAAATTGACCAACAGAATATGGGAGTCTAAGCCCATATTGTGTTCCCATCTCGCTTTGCAAGGTAATTGTTCTATGCTCACTGCTCCAGCTTTAAATGTGCGGTCAGCTGACAAATAGAGGAATGACAGCCCTTTACCCGGTTGCCCACCCATAAGGCTCCAGCCCTTATGAGCCCCACAGGCTGCTCTGTCTCATGGCATAGAAGTGGCAGCCAGCACCTGCGTCTGGGGAGCCCATCAAAGTCATGTCCTTAGAGTTGGTCTTCCAGGCCCTCTGTGGACCAGCAGTGCCTGTCCCTAGAGAGCAGGAACATTCTAGAAGCAGAGCCTAGAGAAGGGCCATGGGTGGTAGGGTTAGGCAGGTGCTCCTGAGATGAGTGCTGAGGAGGTTTTGGGGAGGGGGTGCCACATGGGAACTTTCCTGTGTCACAGGGCTGTTTCTGATGGGGGAGGAGGTCCTGTAACTGCCTGCATAGCCTCTTCCTCCACATATTGCTTGTTTGAACAAGTCATAAAAAGGAAATGGGAGGTGCCTGGTAGCTGGCAGGCTCTGTAGGAAGCGCCCCATAAGGGGACAAGCACTGGCCTCTCAGCCTCTAGCTGGCTGGGTCTTGTTTATAGCAATTTTCACCCTCCCAGAGGGCCTGTTCCTGTCTGCAGAGGCCACATTCCTTTCCTTTCTTCATTCCCAGCAGCTGTGTCCTGGAATAGTTGGCCTCCACAGCACTCTAGTTTAGCTGCATCTGCCTGCTTCCTCCGAGTCCACTGCCTGCAAGAGCTCATACTTCCTAGGCCGCCCAGCACCTTCTCTAGGCCGCCAGGCACTGGCCTGCTGTGCCCCACAAGGTAAGAGATGGCGGGAGAGGGTCCCACCACCCAGGGAGTCTGAGATCCCACAGCCTATTCAGAGCCACTCACTGCTGGTGTGACCTCACCCAGGTTACCCTACTTCTGGGCTCACCCATGGGTGAAAGGAAGCTATGATGGTGCGCTGGAAGCAACACTGGGTGTGTAGTGGGGAAAACAGGCCTGGGAACCACTCGCCCTGAGCCCACAGCCCAGCACATTCCACAGCGCTTCAGGCTTTCCAGCTAACTGCCTACCGCTAGCCCATTGGATCTTCTTGGAGTCTCACAGGGTTTCACGCAACTTCGGGATCATTCTCATCCCCCTTGATGGATGAGCCTCCCCAGGTGCCCAGCTTGGGGGTGGGGGGATGCTTCTCAGTTTATCCCTCTTAATTTCTTAACCATACCCCACTGCACACGTGTTCCACAGGAGACCCCATTGTCTCATGACCTTGTCCTTCTGGAAACGACTCTATTCTCCCCCAAATAGCCCACACCTTTCCTGTGACATTACATAGGGCTCAGCTACATGGAGAACAGACTCATGTTCAGACACAAGGACAATCCCACTGTCTGCTGAGCCTTATGTGAGAGAAGTACCCAGAAATCGCAATAACTAAACTAGAAAACAGGGGACTGTAATACCTGGAAATATGGTGACTGTGGCAGGTGAGTGAAGGAGACAAGAAATATATTGATTATTATGAACAAGGCAGACAAGAAATAGTTTAATTTTCCTAAAACAGCAGAAGGGAGCCTGCTTTCTCATGGTTTGATACAATAAGGTGTCATCATGATAAAATCAGGCTCTTGTAATCTTAAAATCATTATAAAATCCAAGTACATTATATTCATTTCCTTCATCCCCCTGTCTGAACCAGACCTTCCTAGTGTCCTGTCAATGCTGTTACAACTTCAGCTTGCACATTGCCTGCCACTCTCTGGTGATACCTGGCCCCATTTTGGAGAAGATGAGTAGAATTTTCCTTTTAGAGAAGGAATCTGCCTCCATTATTGATCCTCCCATTCTTGCCTACACTGACACCTCTGCCTGCTCTGAGGTTGGCCTGCAACACAATCCTGCAGGTCTGCCATGCTTCCCCCAGTCTTTTCTTAGGCTTTATTCAGTCCTGTTAATATTTTGTCTGTGACTCATTTTAGCACCTCTCCATCAACATCCTTTGTCACTCAGTACACTTTGCTATTTGGTCATTTCTGCCTAAAAGCCCATTCCCTTGTGGACACAAGTCTCCCCTGCCACCTGACACATTCAGAAGAGGGTCCAGGAGAACTAATGCCCTGCATCTTGGCTAATGCAACCTGAGTTTGATTGACTTTCTGTGTCAGGCACCTCGCTCCATTTGGGTCACACTGATAATCAAGTCAGTGAAACATCAGATTGGTTTACACTGAAATGCTTCAATTCACAGCAGTTCCTGCAGCCCCTGCAGTTATCTCTTTGAATAATTTTTTTTTTGAAAAGCATGCATTCAGGATTTCACAGTACAGTTGTCTCTGATGGTATCAAGACAGGCTTCCAGCCTGTCAGCCTCAGTTTGTGTCCTGACCATGGGACAGCCACATTGTATGTGGGGTCCAGTAGGCTGTGGACTTATTTGGATTAATCTCATTTCCTCCTGTGGAACCAAGGAGAATTGGCTGGCAAGAGGAGCTGCTTTTCAGTTTTAGTTCCAAGACAATTGTGTGACCTTGGAAGGGTCATTTGTTGCTCAGGTTCCTAATGTTTTAATCAAAATTTTAAAACTATAATAATTTAGGAGAAGAATAAATAATGGCTAGGAAAGAACTTAGAAAGTTATAAGTGGCCACACAGAGGGTTATTACAATGATGAAGTTCACTATCAACATGGTCACCATTGTCATCGTCTTTGCCAGAGATGGATTCAAACATATTTTCTGAGGTTTCCAAACCTCACAAAAGGTCATTTAAAGTAGAAAAGGTGTCATAGAATTGGAGCAGGTTTAGCAAGAGCCAGAGTATAATTTCCAGAGTCAAGGACAGGGTATAAGAGAGGGTGGTGAGGAGAGGCTCTCTCTGGGCTTAAGTGGGGAGGCTAGAAGGGGGAGGAAAGGGTAAAAGAAAGGAGAAGAGGAAAGAAGGAAGTTTCACATCTGATGATGTGAAAATGGGTGGTTTTCCTAAGGAGGCCCCCAAAAATCCTAAGTGGATAGAAAAACATGCAAGCATTATTTCTATATAACAGAAACAACCTGAAATATCAAACATACTATAAACACCCTTTTTTAATTCAGTGGTAATCAGTAAAATGCAAGTGTAAATGGATGAAGACATCCTTATGAATGCCCATAAGGGTGATAAAAAAATATTAAAAGTGGAACATCGCCAAGTGCAAGTGCAGATTTGGGGACTTCTCACACAGGGCTGCTGTCAGTGAGGATTTGCACAGGGCTCTTGAGTCATACTGACAGTATCTTGTCAGGTGGGAGCTGTCTATCCCAGGTCAATTGTTGCACAGAAATATGTAGTAAGTGGGGATTGTTTTGCAGCAAGCATGTATTTTGAGATAGCTCAAATGTGTGTTAATAAAGTGGCTCAGTTTGTTGAGCATTTCCCATGCACCAAAAGGTCAAAGGTTCAATTCTAAGTCAGGGCACATACCTGGGTTCAATCTCTGGTTGGGGCATGTTTGGGAGGTAGCCAATCAATGTTTCTCTCTCACATCAATTTATCTCTCTCTCTCTCTCTCCCATTCTCTCTCTCTCTCTCTCTCTCTCTCTCTCTCTCCCTCTCTTCCTCATCAATAAAAACACATATTTAAAAAGTAACTGGCCCTATCTGTTTTGCCTCAAATGATGAAGGGTCCTGGCTTCAGTTTCAGTCAAGGGCACATGCAGTCTTGATCCCCAGTGGAGGGCATACAGGAGGCAGCCAGTCAATGATTCTCTCATCATTGGTGTTTCAGTCTCTCTCTCTCTCTCTCTCTCTCTCTCTCTCTCTCTCTCTCTCTCTCTCTCTCCTCTCTCTGAAATTAACAAAAATATATATTTTTAAATATCTGAACCTTCTTTTAAAAATATTACTGGATAAAATGTTACACAAATAATGTCATTTATGTAAAAGTTTAAAATGCAGAAACAGTATTACACATAACCTATAGATACAGGTATGTATGTGTATATATATATATATATATATATATATATATATAGTGATACAAACTCAGAATATTGGTTGCCTTTGAAGGGCACAGGGAGGGTGAAAGAGACTAGGGAGTCAAAAAAACATAAATGAAATTCTATGTGTAATGAGTTAGCTTTTTAATCAAACAGAATAGCTGCAGTAAAAATGCCAAAATACTTACATTTGTTCATTGCAAATTGTGGTTTTGTTTTATAAGTTCACTTAAAAACTTGTTTCATAACTGCATAATATTTAAAACTGAATAAATAAATACAACCACATCTTAGGTATGTAACATCTTGTCTTTTCTAACAACAAAATGAGTGACACAATATTATGCCTCATTTGAATGAGACATTTATGCTAACTGATGCCAATGATTGTGCCAATTTCTGTTTAAATCTACTGGTATACAGTATGGTGATCACTGGAAGAGAAGGGCCACAAAGCCAGCCAGGAAAAACATTTGATTAAACATTGAGCAGGAAGTGAGTTTTTCTTGAATTTGTCCTCACTGTTGATTCCTTCTCTTTGGACATGTCACCCCTTTCTCTCGTGACCAACTGCTCAGGGGACTAACCACAAACTTTCTAGAACAGAGGAAGAAATTGCCTTGCTATAAATGGCATTGGCTTGTTTGAAGTAATGAGACTTTCCAGTGCCCAGCACTCTTTGTGTCATATGAGTATCCAGTGGCCAAGAGGAAAAGTACAGTGCACCTTTCCAGGGGAAGGTTGGATCTGGGACATGAATCCTTCCAGAACTGACATGAGAGGATCTACTTTTTCCAGAAATTTGGCCTACTTTGATTCCAAAAAAATAAAATGAAATAAAATAATGTTCCACTCTTATGTTTCGTTCCATAAAAGAATGCTTTCTTCATTCCATGCCTTTCCCAGTTAGAGGGACATAAGCAAATGATTGTTTTTAAACATTTGCTACATTCCTGTAAGTTAAGTAACAAAACAAAACCAAAAAAAGCCACCAAGCATTTGTGAGAACAGTGCAATGTGTTAGCATCACCTGGTTTGCTGAAAGTTTTTATTGATGTTTGCAAATATAATGTGAGTTAGGAAATTAACAATGAAAATGGCTCCTCATGGAGAAGTAGCATTAGGTGTCTGAACTGGAAGTGACCTCAGGCCTTACCAACCCCCATGTGGGCTCTCATGAGAGAATTGCATTGATTGTCTTTCTCCTTTGCTTGTGGGAGTGAGGTTCTTGGGGCACCACTGGAATAAGCATTTCCAGAGGCCTCAGAGGGAGGATGAGATGTGCAAAAAGAATTTCCTGAGACTCACACAGGAGGATGAATGATTTTTATTTGCATGGAATTATATTTTGGGTTTCAATCCCATTTCTTTCAATCCAGTTCTGGAAGAGGTGCAGCTGAGGATTCAGTAGAGCTAGAAGCAAAGTCAGTGTCCAAAGATTCTTTTCTATGGTGGACTGGGTCCGGCACAGCATTAAGGTATTTGCAGTCCATCAGTCCATTGTGTGGGGTCCCCATCGCTGTGAGCTACATGGCAAATGCAAGAGATCAGGACCCTGAGAGTCCCCAGGCCAGGAGTCAAGCTTCAGGAGGAAGCAATGGAGCTACACTTTTGTTTCAGAGCTTAAGTACCTCAAATCTCCTGATGCTTGCAGAGGCAATGCCTACTCTGCCCAACTCATTCCTAGTTGTGACTGACAAGCAAGTACCTTCCCTATGTCACCCAAACTTTACTGGGCATGTGCTAAACTGCAGCTTCCTGCCCAAGTTGCACAAATGACTATAATATTTGGCCTTCTCTTTGCTCCTTTTCAGTTATTTAAAACTGGGTATTTAATTATAAGGGTATTAGATACTTGTTTTTTATTCTGTTCCTGTTTTTATTCCAGAAGAGAATGGAAGGATTTCCAAAGCACGGATATGGAACTATGGATAAAGGTAAGAAAGCCTCCAAGTTCTTAAAAGGCACCAGTCTCTTACCTCAAACACAGTGACAGAAACCCAGTGATTTTAAACTGAAGAAAAAAAATATAATGCTCATTTTTTTCTTTACCTTTCCAACCATCATCACACACACACGCACACACACACACACACACACACACACACACACCTGATCCCCCAATACAATGCTCTCCAGACACATCATGCGGGAAATGTGGAAATGAAACTTCAAGTCAGAAGTTGCAGGATTTTGAACTGTATTATGAATAAATTTTCTCTTTCCTTGTCTGCTCTGAGCTGAAGAAATGGAAAAGTTTTCCAGAGAGTTTTAGTAATCATGTTTTCTACAAAAACATCCTAGAACCCTGCAGAAAAGGGAGAACCAACACAGAGTAGGAATAAAATAATAGATTTTAGAAGCCTACAGTGAATTTGGAATCCATTTGGGCTCATAAGAATTCTAGAACATCGGTTCTCATCTTCCTTCATCCCTTGAAGGTTTTAGCTCTTGGCTCAAAGTTTCCCTTCCCAGCATCATTTCTGTTAACTTCCTATAATTCAATCAACCAAGTAGGAGATCTTTCCATCACATATACTACTAATGGTCTTAAATTCCATCCTCTTCAGCCACCCATAGGGAGTCATCTTCCTGTCTTTGCCTTTGACATTATCTTTGATCTTCCTGCTGTCTCAATTTCAAGCATCCAACTCCCACTCAAAGAGCTAAGGCCCAGGTATCTCAGCTGGTCCTTGGTGAGAGATCTCATCTGTGGCTCCCTTTCATCCTGAGGTTTATGAATGTCTTGAGCACTTCTACACATGAGTGCCTGGAATTTGTGGGTGAAAAAGAGGTGGTAATATTTTCCCATGTGTGAGTTCTCATCCTCTGCCTCCTCCTAACCTCACATTTATTTAGCATGAAACTGGCCTAACCACCATCCCTGGAGAAACACAAGGACCACTATACTTTCAAAAAAACTGTATCTTCCCTCGTCAGGGTTAAGGTCTTGGAGCATCCTCGTCAGTGTAGCAGTTCTTACTCTTGGGTCCAACATGGGCTTTCGATGTAGACTTTCTATGACCCAAGAACCTCACCCAGTTGTCAGCAAATTTGGCTGTGTATTTAGATATGACAGTTTCCTGGGAGGGAGGTCCACAGATTTAATGAGATACCATGATGGCCCATGATCAAAATATCTGCAGCAATATCTTAGTAGGACACAATTTTTCTCTTTCAGGAAGTGTAGAAAATAACCAGTTTGCATCATCGTCCTCACTGAGGCTCATCCTGGTGGGCAAAACCGGCTGCGGGAAAAGTGCCACTGGAAACAGCATCCTCTGCCAGGCTAAGTTTGAGTCCAAACTGAGTCCCCAGACCGTGACCAGGAAGTGCCAGGGGGCCACAGGCACGTGGAATGGTAGGGAAATCTGGGTGGTTGACACACCCTCCATCTTTGATGAAAAGTCCCCAGACCAAGAGATGTACAAGAACATCGGGGACTGCTACCTGCTCTCAGCCCCAGGGCCCCACGTGCTGCTGCTGGTGACACAGCTGGGGCGCTTCACTGACCAGGACACAAAGGCAGTGAAAAGGGTGAAGGAGGTCTTTGGGCCAGGTGCCATGAGATATGTGGTGGTCCTCTTCACCCACAAGGAGGACTTACAGGGTGAATCCTTGGATGAGTATATAGTCAATACGGACAACTACAGGCTGAGGAGCCTGATCCAGAAGTGTGGGAGGAGGTACTGTGGCTTCAACAACCGGGCCACCGGGGAGGAGCAGAGGGAGCAGCTGGAGGAGCTGATGGCTGTGATCGAGAGCCTGGAGAGAGAGCACGAGGGCACCTTCTACAGTAACGACCTCTACTTTGATGCACAGATGCTCCTGAGAGGGGAAGGTGGCACCTGTGAAGAGCGCAGGATCTACCTGTTAAAGGTGCGAGCACATGTTGAAGAGACCCAGAGTCACAGGTTGTCCAAGGTGCTCCTCAGAGTCAAAAACTGGGTGCTTTCTAACCTTGGGTTATCTGTTTTCCTTGGGATATGCACTCTGACTTTTTTTACCCTTTTAATTAGCTTGTGTGTTACTAAAGAACGCTAAGCACTTTCAGCTGACTTCTATCAATACAATTGGCTTCTTTTTTTTTTCCCCAGACTCACTATCTCTGTCTATGCTTGTAAGAAACTTATTCGCTTTTTGCTTAAGTTCAGTTATAATTTTTCTTCCTTGCATTAGACATGTCATTAATGTTCTCCTAGTGCTTCTAGATAAATAAAATCCAAAGAAAAAATACTTTTTTGTTTTGTTAAAAATCATGGAAGTAAATAATAACTTAGCTAGATACAATCCTGGAATCTTTGGGAGGGTTTTGTACGAAGGAAGGTGAGTCGACTGTGATATTACACATTGAGGAAAGATATACATTATATTAGAAGCTGGATGTAGAATTCCTTATATTATTCAGAAATGTGCTCTGATTTCATCATAGGCTGAAAGGGATGACACCCATCCCCATCCCCATCTGAGAGAGGATGTTCTGGGGGGAATTTTGGAGGCATGAGGGGGCTGGGGAGGAAGGTGGGAGGGGACATGGACATGTGAGGAGAAGAGAAAATGGCCACAGAGGTGGGATGGGGTGTGGACTTGAGGAAAGCAGAGACAGTGGTTGGGGGGGGGAAAGGAACTGGGATTTCATAGAGCAGAGTCAGAGAGTAGATTAGGCTCAGCAGACTACATGATCTCAGTCACTCACAAAGGAAATGGTGGATGGACAAGATATAAGTGATGTGTGAGGTTGAATTCCATAAAACTTTGTGAACACTGAAATTTGAATTTCATTTGGCTTACTTATGTAATGATGAAACATTATTCTTCTTTTTATTTCTTCAACTTTTTAAATACCTAAAAGCTCTTCCTTCTTAACTGGGAGGCTGTAAAACTGGCGGCAGGCCAAGTGGTCCCATTCCCGTTTACAGAAAATTCCCGTTGTTGGTGGAGCTGTGTTGTAAAGCAGCTTCTTTAGCCCCAAAGTCCGCACAATCATGTATGGGAACTCGAGGAGGGAGGGGTGTTCCACACTTCCACAGCAGCAAAGGGAAGAGGGCAGGCATTGGGGTGACATCTGGGCAGAGGTCATGAAATTAGTGGAAATGGGAAGCCAGATGAAGTCCCAGGTGGCCCCTGCCTCACCCTCTCCTTCTTTTGTTGGCCCACCCACCCCCTTTCTCTCCTCATTAGTACCCTGTCCTGGAGATCTGCAGTGTCCTAGACAGCCTGTGGCTGCATGGCTAAATGATTAAGTCTGGGATGAGTCTTAGGAACGCAATGGTGCCACCCAGCTGTCATTCTCCAAACTTCTACTGGTAACAGAGGTGTTGCCTTGATCTGACCAGCTGTAGTACATTACTGATTCTAAACCCCCACAGGAGTGTTATGTACAAGCTCCTCAAACCCTGTACACCCTCAGGAACTTGTGTTCTCTGGAGAGGGACCATCTCTGCAACACGGTTCCCAAACTGTCCAAGCTGCCTAGGTCTCCCCCTTCCTGGACTTAATTCAGTCCACCTGCACAGTCATTTATTTCACGAATACTGAGTGTTAGCTTCTCTGCTCGGCACCAGGTATGTAAGAGAAATGATGCAAGGTTCCTGCTTCCAAAAGCAACTGTGTGATAGATGATGGAGTTGCAGGAAAATGGGGTGTGAGAGAAAGGATTTGGAGGTCAGACATTGGCCTAAGGGAGAGCACACGGGCTCAGCAGGGGCTCCCTACACTGATGGTGCTGGAGCTGCTGGGAACCCACTGAGACACTTCAGGCTAAGGGAGGCCAGGGACAAGGGGTGCTGGCAGAGAATGCTGTTCCCAGTGGCACTTTTCCCTCGTCCAGATTTTCCCACTAAGACAAGCCTCAGTGAGGATGATCCTAGAGTTAGATTTTTCTCTTCCACCTGTCAGAGCACCTGAAAAGATAATGTGTAATTGCTGTGGACCGAATGTTAGAACCCCCAAATCTTATGTACTGAAACCCCAGTCCCCAATATGCTGGCATCTGGAACTGGGACCTTGGGAGGTGGAAGCGCTAGATGAGGTCAGGAGGTTGGAGCCCCCACGTGATGGGATTGGTGTCCTTAGAAGAAGAGGAAGGGAGTGGAGCTTTCTCTCCAACAGATGAGGACACAACAACCAGAAAGCAGGCTTCCCCACACACCGAATCTGCCGGAACCTTGATCTTAGACCTTCCAGAAGAGTGAGAAATAAATGTTGGTTGTTTACCACCCAGTCTACGATATTTTATTTTAGCCTGAGGTGACTAAGAGTAATAACTGCCTTTTGAGAACAAAAAGGAAAAGACTCAGGAGAAAGAGCATCTGTGATTAATTAGGGTGTCATGCCCTCTGTCTCCATCACAGGGCTGGGCTCAGGGTGAAAACCAGCCACTGGCACAGAAGCAAACACATCTTCCCACCCACCGTGTGCCTCTCAGCATTGGGATTCTTTCTTGTGGGTAATTCTAGAAGCCCGTGAAGGTTGAATTCAAGGCATGCACGATGTTTGAGACATTCTTTGGCTCTGGCCTCCCTCTTACTTCTGTCTAATACCCTGCCCTCGGTTACCCAGGCTGTGACCTTGAAGGAAAACAAGTTTAGGAGGTTTCCTCAGAGAAGGGGATTTGCATTTTCACAGAAACTAGGGAGACATCTGTCCCCCCACCCACCCACTCACACTGTCATTTAGGCAAAGTGACAAGCATTTAAGAGATAGGGATGTTCTGTGAACCTTGTTGGATATTTACTATTAGGTATTTATTGTTTGGGATGTGATATTAATAAAAGTAAGAGTCCTGCTGCTTTAAAGTTATGGGCTAATAAAGTTAGATATGAAATGGTATGATAGCTGGGTTGGCTTTCAAATAATCAAGACAGGAAGGGAGGGAGTAGATGAAACAAGACTGTCCAAGTATAACAATGACAGCTAATGATGATACATTGAGTTTGCTACTTCTCTCTGATCCCACCAAACACAGACCATTGTCTTCTTTCCGAAGCGATTTGGCCTTGAGTCGATGTTGATTGTTGACCTGGATCAACCGTGATTTTGTATGTTTGGGATGCTCAGAATAAATCCACTTTTCATTGCCAGTAACAATTCAATGCAAAAAAAAAAAGACTTTCTTTCATGCCGTTGAAGCAACATTTTACTGATGACTTCTCAGTTTTCCATTTATCTTTTGTTCAGTTGATGTGGCACCCGTTTTTCTTCCTTTAAAACAGAGGTTCTCAACCTTTTGCAACCAACAGGTTGAGAACCGCTAGAAAGGTCACCTAAGACCATCAGAATACCACACAGATATTTATGTTACGATTCATAACAGTAGCAAATTTACAGATAAGAAGTAGCAATAAGCCGAGACTGGTTTGGCTCAATGGATAGAGCGTCAGCTTGGGGACTGAAAGGTCCCGGGTTCGATTCCAGTCAAGGGCATGTACCTTGGTTGCGGGCATATCCCCAGTAGGAGGTGTGCAAGAGGCGGCTGATCGATGACTCTCTCTCATCGATGTTTCTAGCTCTCTATCTCTCTCCCTTCCTCTCTGTACAAAATCAATAAAATATATTAAAAAAATATTGCTAAAAGAAATGTCCAAGATTTAAAAAAAAAAAAAGTAGCAATAAAAATAATTTTATGGTTGGGGGTCATGAGGAACTGTATTAAAGGGTCAGGCATTAGAAAGGTTGAGAACCACTGCTTTAAAAATATTTTCCATTGGTTTAAAGGATCAGAAATCATTTGCTGAGCACCATTTAATCTTTCTGCAAGTTGTTTTTGAGTTTGACACGCATCTTCAACCAATAATGCTTGTAATTGTTGGTCAACTTTTTTAGTTGACCTGGATTTTTTTGTCTTTCACATCAAAATTATCATTTTTAAAGCATTTAAACCAGCATTCACAAGAATCTTGAGATGGAGCATGTTCACCATAAGTTTCCCAAAGTATCAGATAACTTTTTCTTCAAAATAAAGTATTCAATTAAAACTTCCTGCAAATGCTCTTTTTTTTGTTATGAAATTCAACATTTTTAAGTGTAAAAATATCTATGATGTTAACACCTTCAGAAAATATGACAAATGAAGTTTTGATGCTTGCTGTCAATACAACAAAATAGCATACATATCAAATCACATATATATTGTATCTACATATGTGTAATACCACCTATTGAAAAACTTCTTCATTATTAACTGGTACACCTAGTATATAAAAGCCTAAGCAATCATTTCAACCGGTTGACCAGTCTCTGTGACACACTCACCACCAGGTAGCAGACTCTCAATGCAGGAGCTACCCACTGCTGGTCAGTGTGCTCCCAGAGCACCGCTCAGCTAGAAGCCAGGCTCCCTGCTGGTGAGTGCAACTGCAGCAGTGAGAGCCTCTCTAGACTCCATGGCAGTGCTGCCAAGTAATGGTGGCAGGCACAGCAGGCCAGGATGAGTGTGAGCAGCACAGTGCCCAACCACGGCTCAGGCTCCTCCCTGGCCACCTGCTCCTTGATAACTGCTACATCCCCCAAGAGGGTGCAGGCCAGACTGAAGGACCTACCCACCCTTGCACAAATCCATGTACTGGACCTAGTATGAAATAAATGGAGAAAAGTGTCATCCATTCCACTGAGAGGTATATTTCCAAACTAAAGGTTACTGTTAAATAATTATTTTACAAATGTTTGTGTTTCTTTTATCAATTGTGTGCCAATAATCCTATTTAATAAAAGCCTAGATGGCATCACCCCCACACACAACATCATCACAAGATGGTCATGTGCACAGCAAAGGTGGGGCCTAGAAATCCAGCAGCTCTGCATGGAATGGAAGAGGTGGGTCCCGGTGCAGGAGGCAGGTTGCAGCATCGGAGGGCAGTTGTGGGTGATCACGCCAGCAGGGGAGGCAGTTGGAGGCACTCAGGCCAGCAGGGGAGCAGTTAGGTATCAATCAGGCCAGCAGGGAGCAGTTAAGGGGTGATCGGGCTGGCAGACAGAAGTGGTTAGGGGCAATCAGGCAGGCATGCAGGCAGGTGAGTGGCTAGGAGCCAGTGTCCCTAGATTGTGAGAGAGATGTACCAGATGGGAGAGGGTACAGGCCAGATTGAAGGATACCCCCTCATTCTCCACGTGCACAAATTTTGTGCACCAAGACTCTAGTACTTTAATAATGTTAACTAAATACAGAAGAGATGCTTCATACTTAAAGTTTTATGGTCACAGAACTTTTTATCAATATTCATATACATTGTTTGGCAGAAATGTAAGCTAGAGTGATCAAGATTTTCCAGCATAAGAATCCATGATACAATTTTATTGGGGATGTAAATGAGCAGTCAGGGGGGGAAAGGAACAGTGTAAAATTTCTATTAGAAAAGAGTTTGTTTGTATATTTTTACAATTACTTATGGTGGATATCCAATTTCTATGTTCCTTATATTTTAAAAAAGAAGTAGCAATTATATTTTTAAATGTCAATGTCTATGATGTAATAGAAATTTCATTCTTTACAAACATTCATGATGAAAAAAATATTTATAAGTCAAATATAAAATGTTCAAGAAAGAACATAGATTTTTAAAAATATTTTAGTGAATACACAAGCAAAAATATATAGTTGGAAGGCCACTGCCCTAGA